CGACCACTTTTCAGACCCCAAAACACGGGGTCGTGATAGGCCCAATATTCATGTAGTGCACGAGAATAAAGATTTATAAATTAGGGTCAATATGAATTTCACTTAATTGAAGGGAATTTGGGTTTTGAAGCTTTATAATCCCTCTATCTCTCTATATATTAATTCAAAACGTGACGAGATTAATTGACAGACTTGCATGCTTCGAAATATTATGTGATAAAATTTCATGTTTCGTTATTAGGCTTGGGTAGATTTTCATTTACTTTCAATCCAAATATAATTATGTCCGGATTATTCATAAATATGTTGATTATTTATAGTCAGGTTACATGTAGTCATGTATGAACTGAATTTTATTATCTTTTCTTAATATAACCGTTGAATTGTAAATATATTTTAAAAAGTTAATAACTTTTGTATTTTTTTTATCAGTTTTATAATATATCAAATTAATTATCTCTTGATAAGTTTCGATTTAACATACTAATAAGTGGTGGTTACTATGTGGCCGATGATATATCTGTCATCAATCGCATTATTTTCTAAGATACTAATTAGTGGGATTGAAGCAGGTAATGCACCACTTTAATTAAATCAAAAGATAAATTATAGATTACTTATGATCAGTCAAGAAAAGTGATTAGGACAACCTAATAATAATAATAATAAAATATGATTTTATTTGATATAAATAGTCTCCATAATTCGGTTGGAAGGGAACTTGTAGGACAAACCTTAACTACTATTGTTGCAACAATTTAATTTAACTAATTTAAATAAAATAGTATTATTGCAATGTTATTCTGTAAAGTGACCTATTTTCAATCGCCCATTATCTATTTGAAACTTTTTAATTTCTGTTAGCTTTATATTAAAATTCCATTGTGAGGTGATCTAATCGTACCTTACACTCACGGTTAACTAATTAAAAATAATATTGCAATGTTATCATGTAAAACGAGCTATTTTCTTCATCTACTTTACTTTTTTGTTATATTTTTTTTTTTGAATTCTTTATATTTTCCGTTGGAATAGCTATTCCAACGGGTATTCCTACGTATAGAAATTCGTGGGAAAAACGGTCGTTGGAATAGCTAAAATCCAACGGAGAATCCTATGGAAATAAATTTCTGCAGCTATTCCAACGGAAAAAATCCGTTGGAATTCCTCAACCATCTAACACTTATTCCAACATAAAATTAAGTTTGTTGGAATATTCATTGCAATTTCCAACAGAAATTTTTGCCGTTGGAATTGAAGTGTTTTATTGTAGTGCATATATATCCATCCGATATCAGTCAGAAGTAGGATTGTAAACACGTCGAGTCAAGCTCGAATTTAGGGTGCTCGAGCTCGAACTCTTCACGATTCGTGCCGAGCTCGACTCGTTAAATAAACGAGCCTATAATCGAGCTCGAGCTCGACTCGTTTAACACTCATAACGAGCCGAGTTCGAGCTGATCTCGAGTTTTAACGAGCCAAGTTATAAAAAAATTATATAAAAATTCTTTTTTTCGAGCCTTAACTAGTCTTATCGAGTGAGCCGAACTCGACTCGTTAACCAATCGAGCTTTAAATGAGCTCGAACTTGACTCGTTTATCAAACGA